GAATGATTCGCCTGATTGTGGGTGCTCATTTATCAGAAGTTTTCTTCACTGATGAGATTTTTCCACTCGTGCCAGAACCAACGTCAACAACTCAAAAAGAGTTAGCAGAAGACCGCTGCTGCAAAAATCAACAATTGCAGCCATTTTCCTGCTTCTGTGATGGTTTTGTCCAGCATCTGCGCCACTGAGAAAAAGCCGTTGGTTTTCATTAATCGGAACACCAAGATAAACGCCATCAGGCATCAACAGCGACTTTTACGAAGAGCTGTTGATGCCTGATGGCGCTTTTGAGACAAAGATGATTGGCCACCTAATTTCTTAAATAGAGTTCTTTTTGATGTTGTTAAAGATTGGATATTTAAAACAAAACTTTAAATTACCTAATTAGTATATTTTTAAAATTTAAAATAAATTACAACAATTAATAACGATAACATTGTGCTTATATCTAGTCAATAAATATTATTGCAAAAATCTTAACATTAAAATTCATCAATTGTTCGATTCATCTCTGTGCTTTTATATCATGTTTTGTATTAATTTTCTTAAAATATTTTGTGTTTTTATCATTTTTGAATCAAAACAACAACGAATTATTTATCAGAATAATAATCTTAGGCCTTTGTAACCAACGGATCTAAATATGACTCAACTTCCCCGAAAATATCATCAACGGCTCTTTCCGCATTGATTTTCTTCAATTTATCTAAATAATGATTCACTATGGCGTCGGTGTGCGTAACAAACGTGTTTAGTCTCTTTTTTATCGTCTCTTCGTTGTCGTCAACTCGCCCTGAAGTCTTTCCTCTGCTTAAAAGTCGTTCCACCAAAGTATCGGTGGATGCGTCAAAAAATAAAATGACATCCACTGGTCCTATAGTTTTTTCAAATAAAACACCTTGTTCTTTTTCTCTTGGATACCCATCAATGAGGAAACCTTTTGCGTTTGAAAGATTTTTATAAATGGCTTCTTTTAGGAGCTCTAAAACAACTTCTAGAGGTACTAAAGCGCCACTTTCCATTATTGCTGTTAATTCTTTTCCTCTTGGTGAACCACTTTTAACCTAGAACAAAATAAATTTTTAAGAATCTAATTACGCTATGATCTACACTCCCACCATCAGTATATGTATGTAATACTTGTTGGCAGATAATAAATATTTTTTTGGACTACTTACTTCATCTCTAAGAAGGTCACCTGATGATAAATGTACAAATCCATATTTTTGCACAATTCTTTCGCATTGGGTTCCTTTTCCAGAACCGGGTCCACCCAAAACCCATATTATGGGGACGTCGATTTTTGGTTGACTCTGTAAACATAATAGAATAAAATTTGTTAAAAGGATTAACATTCGATAAAGATAGAAATGATTTTTTGATTACATAAATGAGCTATTTTCGTTACAAAAGTTTTTGGGAGCCAATAAATTAAGTTTTTTATTAACTTGCTTTTTCCAAAAATTTAAATTAATAAAAATAATCATTTTTAAAATATTTTGGTTAAATTTTTAGATAAATCTCTATTAATTACTGTTATATTTAAGTATTATGATCTTGTTGTGAAGAAAAAAAAATCTATTTTTATAAATCCAAAAATAAAAGTAAATATTCGCTGTTTTATGAAAAAAAATGACAAAATTAACTCACCATTACGAAATTAAACGTGTACACACAGTAAAAATTTCAATGGCAATGGGTTAGTATGCCAATTCGTTTTAATTTGGTACAGATATAGAACCGAGTGGGTCTCTACTGAAAATTTTCGATCTAATGCCGCGAAATATAAAAGAGGGATCACAAAATACCACGTGATGGTGATTCTATTCCGAAATAACGTACAGAATCTGGCGAATCTAAACGTTTTAAAACTTGGAATAATACACGAAAAAACTCATTGCATTTATTACGTGTTGGTTTATGCAACAACTCACTCGTTTTCAAACAACAGGGCCGGACCATAGCTTGCATTTAAACAAATTTACTTACAATTGATGTATTTTAGTTTTAAATTATTGAAAATTCTTACTTCGACTTTTCTGGGTAAACATAAGAAATAGTTTTTGAACATTTTGATTAATGGATCATTCCTTTATGTTAGGACAGTTGTTTACTTATGTAAATAAGAAAAGCGAATGATTTATTGCACCGAATAAAAAATTACAAAAACACATTAACTTCCTTAACCCATTAAGGTAAAAAATTAAAAAATGGGTCATCAACAGACGCTATTTGTTATTAAATAGTTAAAATAAATATTTAAATATCTGTTTCGTTAATTCTGAGATTACTAATTGAGAAAGGAACTCCATCTATCATTGTAAAACTAATCTAAATTCTAACACCGGTAACAAAAATTAAAACAGGCGAGCTCATAAACGTTCATATTTTGACTTTAGGTGGAATTTGATGATTTGAGATGGAAGCAAGTGCAACACTATCAAATAAACAGCTACCCACATAATTATGGGTCAGAAACTTGGACGATGTTAGACAAGCCCAAATCGAAAACAGCAGCAGAGATGAAGTACCTACGCAAGATGTTGAGGAAAACCAGAAGAACTAAGTTTAAACCCCCTGGCATAGGAAATAGAGGGAAAACAACTAGGTTGGTGTGGTCATCTGCTTCGAATGAAAGAAGATAGAGCACCTAAGAAAATATTCAACATGAGGCCAAAAGGAAAGAGAAAGCGTGGTAGACCAAGAATCCAATAGGAGGGAAAGATTAAGAAGAGGGAAGAAACTCACCGAAGTACGGACTATGGCCAGAGATGAGAAGATGGATCCAAAACCCAACACCGTACGGTATAAATGGGGACAAGAGAAAGAAGAAGAAGGTGGAATTTGACAAGGGGACAGCTTAAGCCCATTCTTGTTTATTCTGATAATGGACAAAATTATACACGTTGTTGAACTTGGGCTATGCAGTGAGCAAGGATAAAGTTCTATGATGTACTACACAGACAATGTTATAGCTCTTTGAATTCTATCGAGTAAGAGTAACAGCTGAACTGAATCAATAAGTCATGACAACCGCCAAAGAACTGATTAGATGCAAACTTGTGCTATGCCCATCGATCAAGTCAATTAGCTCAAATATTTTGGACTGGATATTTTGATTAGTCATGATCCAGCAAATACTTAAGAATCCATATCTTTATCAGGATGCTGAAGAGAAATCGTTTGGTCAAATCAGTATATGCGAATAGGCAGCACGATGAAAACCTATAAAACTTGCATAAGTTATATCATTACATACAGACTAGAGGAATGCGTAAATATGATCAAAACTAAGAGTGAAAGAGCCAAAATGAAAACGTTGCGAAGAATCCTGGCTAAGACTAGAGGATAAGAAATATACACCTCAGGAAACGATATGTAGAGAAACGAAGAAGATAAATGAAAGAACACCAGGTAGATCACCCAAATGAAGGGCAGTTGGTCACATCACAAGACAAATTTCGACTACGAATTCAACATTCAAAAAACCAATAGGTTTAAAACAAGTGTAATATCATGAAACAAGGTACAGCACATAACCATTTGTTACATGTTCTACAATAATACCAGATTTTATTCCTCTTCCTTATTCTCTGATTATCTTTATTGCAGTACACTGCGCAACGTCTTGTGACCAAAATTTGTTGGTCTTTCGTGCATCGTTTGACAAAATTTATTCTAAATGAGATTGCCTTCCACCATATAGATCACAAAGTATAAATGAATTGTAAACAGATGTCTTAACTCAGGATAGTTATGAAATTGCTGATCTAAACTATCAAATTTTCCCATTGTGTCGTTATAATTTGCGACTATTTTAAGTTTTGCAATTAAATTTCCTGTTTTTTTATCACGCCTTGTCATAACCATAAAATTCCTTCTTTCAAAATCAATACTTTCTCTTTTTTTAAATTCCTTCAAAATCTTTTCAGATTTTCTACATCGTTTAATACATACCTATTTATGTAAAGTAAGGAAATTAGCTTCTGGAGTTGTATAGAAGTTATCTGTTGTCAAGCAGCAACCTTTATCTTTGTCATCCTATTATTGTTCCTTTACCAGTATAAATTATTGATGAATACAAATATCTTGTTTTGATTTGCACAAACAATAAAAATTGGAGCCTAAACGAATTTGTTTCATAGGATTATATTGTTTGACCTTTGCATAAAATGAATCTTTCGTCAACAATGATATATTTGTAAGGACCAAGTACAGATTTTTGGCCATGCTTTTTTGGCAAGCATGACCAATGAGCAAATTAAACCCAACTTAATTTACTAAATGTGATAACAACTGAGGCAACTAATTAGCGTTCATTAGGGGTTGTCATTTAAAGTACACTGAAGTTACACAGACAAGCTTTGCTTTTTCATAACATTAACAGCAACTACACTCATTCAAATGGTTTGTGTCTTTTGAGTCTCCTTTCTAGTTCTGTATTATCAAGTAGCTGGATGTTCTCGATGTTAACATGATGATATAGCCTTTCCTCATGACTCTTAATAAATTTTCTGATAGTTTGGTCTACTCAGCTGGATGCCATGTGTCTATACGGATTTTAATATTTTTTATACAGCAATAGCTTATTATACAAAGAGATTATGAAATATCTCCGTATTAGCCATTTCTGCATCTTATTTCGAACCCCTGCCTTTTCTTTTAACGTGTGCTTTCCAGTGGAGTTTTGTATCAGGCGTTATATTTGTTTATAAGATTGTTTTGTTTCGTCTAATTTTCCATTTTTTAATCCAACTGTTTATTCTATTGTCTCCTGCTTATTGCTTAACAGTTTCTTCTTCATTATGTCATCAGCAAAAGTGGCAATGGTTATGTTTTCTATTTAGGGTATATCGCATGTATATAAAAAGTAGGACCGGCCCTTATCACCATTTTCTAAGATACACCAGCTTTAATGGATTTTAGTTCCAAGTAAGCTACGACATGCTTTATTATGTAGGATTTCAGACAACTGTTTCAGTAGGTATTTTCTTAGTTTCTAATTAATTATCAAACTATACTTTATGAAAAGATTGTGCTACATCTAAAAATATTGTAGAACACAACATATTTTCTTCTAATATTCTTTCTATTATTATTAGAGACTTGTGGATTGAAGATGAATTGCAGCTGCGAAATTAATCTCTTGGCGCCAATGGATTTATTCTTTTTAAAATAATTTCCGTAGCCTATTACTGGCAGTAATGATATTGGTCTGTAAGATGCTACTTCATGATAATGTTTTCCTGGTTTCGTTATCATTATGATTTCAGCCATCTTCCAGAATATGGAAACATATCTGAATGTGATCCTAGGGAGCTTTTTCAATACTTCCCCAATTATTAAGACAAAAGCTTGCGGATTCTTGGAGTTAACACTTTCTTTTATCTTAGTGTACACTTCTTTAGATGACGTCTGTGATTGTTTCTTGTTCCTGAAATAGTTCATTCCATTCTGGTTCTTCTCCCTGATCGTCATTTGGTTTAAAGGTTTGTTCTAGATGATTTGTAAAAACTTTTGCTTTTTGAATATTATTATCTATTCCCTTCAATGTTTCTAACTGGATGGATCTATATTATAGGGATTTTAAGTCTTACAGCTTTCCAAAAAGAGCAATCAGTACCATTATCATTGATTATATGTCTAAGTTAAACAGAGATTCAGTTTTGTCTGCCGAACCTCACTTTTTAAATGCATAGCGTCATTTAATATAATCTTATCTTCAGGATTTCTTGACTATTGCTATTTCGTTCAAAGTTTTCCTTTTTCTATGATTGTATTCTGCTTACTCTAGTGTTTAGTCCAGGAGGTATATATAAAGATGAACTTTTTTTTTGTTTGTTATCAAAAATGGGCTAAATATTCACATCACTTTTAAAAATAGGTGTCCATTAATTTGATGAAGTTTCTGACTGCTGTTTGGCATATGTATTAGTTTCATTTTTAATTATGTTCAATAAGCCTTTGTCAAAAAAAGTTTTGTATATACCAAAACATGCTACTCATCTTTTTATAAATGAAATGTATCACCAGGTGTTTACATGAATGGAAACTTTTGTAGAGCTGTATTGGACATCATAGTCTGACAAACTCTCCGAACTTGGAACTTTCTACATATACATAAATACGAATTACTTGGTTTACAAATATGCGCAATAATAATCTAGTTATATTTTAGATTTGTGAATTATGAACCATCAACAGTTATTTTTTGGCCATAACAGGCGTGAGCCTACAACCAAGACGAGAAAGAGTGAAACTTCGCTATTTTTGGTAGTCCGAGGCAGACTCTGACTTGTGCGGTAATTAAAAGAATAGTAATACAGTACATATTCAGTAGAAATTTTTTTTGTATAAGCCAATCCGGGCCTGTTCTATCCATAAAGAGGTCATATCCATTTCAAACAACGTTTAGTATTACGGAAGTTTCTTGTTTTATACTCCGGTTCAAATTGGAAATTATAACTAACAAGAGTATTAAAAGAATAAGAATTAATTCCTCAAATTATCTTCGAACATTCCAAATAACGATGTGAATTTTACATCTGCGTAACGTTTTATTACTTATTACAGTAATTATGGGAACAAAACTTTTAATACAAGTTATAAATTTTGGAAGTTCACCTCAACAGAAATAGTAATTGAAGATTTATAGATGACCTTATTAACACACCCAGGTGTGACCACCACTTTTTACCGGCATTTACACGTGTCTGACACGCAACAAGAATACTAAACCAAGTTATATCGATTATAGCTTTATGATATTAATTGTACGAAACGGTTTAGAGTCGTATGAGTTGTCGAAGAAACTATAATTTACCACCACGACTATGATTAATCGACTTTATGATGAATAATTTCATAACCAACATGAAAAGCTATTAACTTTATTTCCAACTTTAATTTTGAACATACCTTTAAATTAGCTAATAAATTAGGTAAATAAGCTGGATAAATAAGCTTATTTCTATTAGTCCAATCAGATTTTGGTAACAATTCATAAACCCGAGCTGATATTTCAACTGTACCGGTTACAAAATTTAGCACTTTCACACTACTTTTCAACTTTGCTGTTTTTTGGAATAATTTCCCCACAGCTTTAATCATCGTTTGTTATAATAGAAAATTGATTGATCACAGTTGATTTACAACTACGGCCTGCAAGA